CTGAGTAGGTGGTTCTGTCCTTCGTAGCTTGGACGGGGTGCTTGACAATATCAGAGTGTTGACTGGTTTGCTTTGTCGTTGGGGACTGAGCTTCTCTGATGGAGAGGTACAGGGGGTCGTTGTAGAAGTCAGCCCTGTCCCTGATAAATTCAGCGAGCATCGCAAAGGGGGGAATTTTGTTTTGGTTGCTTTTTCTGTAAGCTCGAGAAAACTCGATCCATTTTTCAGATATCAACCGTGGTAGTTTATGGATGATAGGATCTTGGGTTCTGAACAGGTCAAGGCAAGCTAATCCCGGCAAGGTAGGATCATGTTGTACTGTCTCCAGTTGAGTAAGGAGCGACGAGAATGTCTTCAGCTGCTGACGTTCGTTGATTCTTATGTTGGGGAAACTAAGAACATGGTCCAGGAGTGAGGACTCTGTCACTGTGGGTTCACCGTAGTCCTTGTCAAGTGCGTCCCAAGTTTGTACAAGGCCAATGTCAGGGTCGCCCAGATGGGCTGTGAAGATGTTGTTCACTGTGATTACGGATTTTGGGCCTAGCTAGGCTGTCAGCTGGACAAGTTCTTCATCTGTCCCAGCCCTTTCCTGGTTGATGACGCGCTTGAAGATGTGCTTCCACAATAAGTAGTCTTTCCCAGGTTTGTCGGAGAATCTTCGTACTCCTCTGGCTGCCAAGTCCAACCTTCTTCCAATGTACAGTGGGGAATGCATCGATTCCGTGTGTGGGCTGTAGCTTGGTGGAGGTGGTGCAGCGTTCCTGGGAGCGGGGGCGTGCACCATGTCTGGCTGGTAACCTCCTTCGGCATATTGTTGGCTGAGGGTGGCTTGCCATGTCACATGCGGGGGACCTTGTTGACTTGGTCTGAACTCCTCTGCTGTGGCGTTGAGCTGAGGGAATCCAAATTCCTGCGTACTTACTTGTTGGAGGGTCTCTCGTCTTTCTGGTGGAGCGTAGCTGGTTCCTTGGTAGGCTGGCATAGCTGGTATTCGAGACTCTCCGCTGTAATCAGGTCTGCTGGTTGTTCCTTGGTAGGCTGCCTTCTGTTGGCGTAGCAGGGACTCTAGTGTGGCTCGAACTCTTTCAATCTCTTCCCCAAGTGAAGGCTGGTTCTGCTGTGGGGCCGTTGGTGCTGCAGGTGGACCTATCCAATTGCCATCAGTGGTGTGGTTCGGCAGGTTCCGTGGGGCAACAACGGTGGAAAGATCTTGTTCCGCTCCCCGCTGTGCAGCCGTTGCCGTTGCTGGTGGACCCATCCGGTTGCCATTAAAGGTATGGTTTGGCAGGTTGAATGGGGCAGCAACGATAGGAATGTCTCATTGCGCTCCCCGCTGTGTAGCTATTGCCATTGCTGGTGGACCCATCCGGTTGCCATCAAAGGTATGGTTTGGCGGGTTCAATGGGGCAGCAACGATAGGAATGTCTCGTGGCGCTCCCGGCTGTGTAGCTATTGCCGTTGCTGGTGGATCCATCCGGTTGCCATCGAAGGTATGGTTCGGTTGGTTCAATGGGGCAGCAACGATATGAAGATCTCGTGGCCTAGCTGTCGCGACATCAACTCTGTGGCTGACTGGCACATCTGGCCGTTGAGATTCTTCTGTTCGTCTACTCAGTCTCGGGGGGCTTGTGGCTGGCTGTGGTCTCACCTGTTCACGTTGAAACGCACTTTGGTTGTCCACGTAGGCCTGTACTCGGCTACGTCATTCTTCGTTTTCCAGTTGTTCCCTATTGGGCAGGAAGATGGTGTTCTGAAGTGTTTCCTGAAGGCCTTCCGCTCTAGCCATTTTGTCTGCCATATCTCGTTGGCTTTGAACAAATTCAAGCTCTTCTTGAGCGTCTTTTCTTTTGGCCCTCATTTTAGCTGCTATAGCTTTTCGTTTAGCTTCCAATTGAGCTGCTTCATTCTTCATTTTGACTGCCTCCATTTCTCGCTCATTCTTCATTTTGACTGCCTCCATTTCTCGCTCATTCTTCATTTTGACTGCCTCGGCTTCTAGTTTGGCTTCTATTTCAGCCTCTTCGAGATCTATAGTCGCCAGTTCCTTCTTTTTCTGCTGCTCCTCCTGAATCACACGAAAGACTGCTTCGGCAGCTTTGGCATCAATGATTGCTCGCTCTGCTTGTGAAATTCGTGATGCTCGGCTGTGACGAGAAGATGCTTTCGAATTGCGGGAGGCGCCTGTGACATGTGATTGTTGTGACACGCTGGAATGTGCTTTGGATATGTGGCGAAAGGATGAGGCCCTTCCAGACACGTGGGATGGAGCCACGTGCGACCGTTGGGACAGTGCGTGTGAATGGCAGGAAACTTCAGACTCGGCCCTGTCGACCAGTCTGTCCTTCAGGAGAGGCTCGCGCTCTGGAGAGCATTGTGGGCTCCTTAGAAGCTTCTTGCATTCCTCATTTAGTAGCTGGAGGCTTTGCATCTTGCTGTCAACAGTTGAATCCCCTAATTGCTCCTGAATGACCTTGAGTTGCCGTTCGGAGTCCATCCATTGTGCGAAGGCGTCTTCCTTATCTCCTTCCACTGTCTGCGCACGGTCAGGGGAGAGTTCCTCCTTTTGCTCTTGGTAAAGTTTGTGCCATCTTTCCCAGCATCTTTCATGGCGCTTGTACACGGTGTCCCATTTCTCCAACAGGTTTGCATGCATGGCTTCTGTGGGCTTTCTTTGTTGTCTCAGATCATAGTGACTCTGAGACGTCTTTGGCCTTACTGAGGCTTGAGCGTCAGCATCTGTGTGCGAGTCAAGGCTGGCTGTTTGCAGCATTTCTCCTTGGCCGGCTGGTTGGGGTGTCTCAACTAAGTTGGTTGGTTGAACCCCTTCATCTAAATCAGTGGGACACTCTGCCATGGTTAGGGTAGGTTCAGTGTTCTTCTCAGCTATTTTGAAGCAAATTTGAAGAACCTCTCTCTTTGACCACTAGGGGTCGCTACTTGCAGATCAGCTTCAGAGGTGCTGACTGTGGGTGGAGGTGCCACTGGGAGCATTCTCCTGTGCTTCTTAGCTATTTAGAAGCAAATTAGATGAACTTCTATTTTTGACCACTAGGGGTCGCTACTTGCAGGTCAGCTTCAGAGGTGCTGTCTGTGGGTGGAGGTGCCACTGGGTGCGTTCTCCTGTGCTTGTGGGTACTTCAGCGTAATTCACCTGTTCACCACTAGGGGTCACTTTCTGCGTATCAGCTACCGGGGTGCTCTTCTTTTGAGGTACACCCTTTGTCCACTAGAGGGCTCTCTCTGGGCGTGATTAAAGGCTTGTGTGTAGCTCCTCCTTTAACCACTAGGGGGCGTCTGAAGAGAGGCCAGCCAAATTCTTCCTATTACCACGTTCCTGCTAGTGACCACTGAGAGGCACAAACTCCCACCTGGTCGTTAAGTTGCAGGCTGGAACACTGGGGTCGCCAGCTTGTGGTATTAGGCAAGGGTTATTGACTCTGCTTCCTTCTCCTTAATCCCTCAGACTGGAAGAACGTGGTCTTCAGCTTAAGTGAGTGAAAACTTTATTGAAGTTCACTCTGTGCCCTTTTAGGTAGCTTGGGATAAATTTAGATAACTTGCTCTTTAACTATCAAATTCACTCTGCGTAGTTAGAGGTGTAAGCAGCGAAGTGTCCTTTTTCTTCTATGGGAACTCTTAGCTTGGCTTGGTATAACCTTACTATGTGCTGAATTATTCATCAAGTTGTTGTAATGTAAGAAAATTTTACCAAGGTGTCATGTGCAGATAGGCCACCAGGGGATGCTACTGCATTGCTAATGGAGCCTCTGTATACCTTCTTTCCATTGACAT